CTCAACCACCTGCGCCACCAGGGGAGGCCCTAGTCTATATTTTAAATGGGGAAATGTATGCTACAAATTCTTTTTTAATTATTGAGATGAAATTGAATTATAATATTGCATATTAATTAGTGGTACAGAACTGCACTTCCTGTGTATGCTATCACATATTTATCTTAATTTCATCAGGCACTTGAGTTTAAAATTTATTCCATTAACAATTATTTAATGGCAGAAAACTAAATGAAATATATTTGCCTTTCATTTACTTATTAACACGCAATTTAGAAGTATTAAATGCATTTTATGTTGAGCAAACAGAGTTAAAAACATCACTCTCTTTAGGCATTTCAGATTCTCATTGGGAAAGAGAAGATGAACAATTACAGTGAGAAGGGGTAAATGCTTTAATGATAGAGGAAATGTAGACTGCTATAGATAGCATCTAGAGAAGACCTTCTATGGGCAGTTAGAAAACATTTCAGGATTTATGGGAGTGACTTGATTATAATTTCATTTTAGAAAATCTGTCCTGACTGCAGTAAGGAAACTTGTTTGGTAGATGAAAAGACAATAAATAGAAAGACCGATTATGATGTTGTAACATTAAAATGGGCTATCACAGATGTACAAGCAGATGGAAGGAGAGATTACAGGCTAATTTGAAAAGGTTTTAGGGGTGAGATTGCCCTATGTAGGGGATGGTTTTAAGGACATTTAAAACAGACTCTAACACAATATTCTTATACATGATTCTTTTCAAAAATACATGAAAATATCAACACCAAACTTACCGAAGCATATCTTTAGAGCAATTTACCAGATATTACAGCCCAGACCTGGCTCCTACTCCAGGTGATTCAGATACAATATATTGCTACATTCACTGCTCAAAATCACCTATATAGATATGTATATATAGTGTTTCACTACCTATTTTTTATTTTACTAAAAGTTCATATTATATATTAGCACAACAAATATGATTCATAATGTTTAAGTTAGTTATTATTTTTTAAAGATTTATTTATTTATGCAAGCACTGGGGTACAGGCCAGAGGCACAGGAGGGTGAGAGAATCCACTAGAGACAGAGCAGGGAGCAGAACAGGCAGAAGCACCGAAATACCCTACTGAGGGGAGCAGCGGGAGAGACAGGAGAGATCTGCCTCGCCATGTGGGAATCTCCCTGGAAGGCCGGGAATTGAACTGGCAACACGGAGGTTGCAGACAGTCTCACAGTGCTGCACCCAACCCACTGTGCCACAAGGGAGGCCCAAGTTAGTTATTATTTATATTTTTATCGTGACAGGAAAAAATGAGAATTGTAAATAGTCAGAATAAGCTAAATGATGAAAATTTTATACTAAAGACAGAGATTAGAAAAATAATAATACAATACTAGTTAACAGTAAACAAGAATAATATTTGCAATGAACTAGTAAGATTTATAATTTTAATAGGATCTAAAGTACTTAGTCAATAATAAAAACAGTAAAACATTTCAGGCATATGATGACTTGCAAAAAATGTTAGTAAGAAGTAATAGTTAAATGTAACTTTAAAGTAATATAAGTGGGAGGCCTTCCTGGTGGTGCACACGTTAAAGACAGTGCTATCAAGCTGTCACTAGCCACTGCAGTAGGAGTTCGATCCCAGCCAGCCAGGGAGCTAACCCACATGGTACAGCAGACCTCTCCTGTCTCACTCACTGCTTCCCTTAGCAGTGTATTACAATAGATCTGCCTGTTCTGCTCTCTACTCTCTCTGGTGAATCCTCTCATCCCCTACACCTCTGGCTTACACCCCAGTTCTTGTATGCATTAACAAATCAATCTTTAAAAAATAAAGTAATATAAGTGGAACATAATAACTATATTAATTAATTTATTATTATTAATATAGTATTTAGCAGTATAGACAATATCGACTATATAGACAAGTTCGTATGAAATGCAAATTACTTAAAATGCCACGTAGAATTGCCAATGAAATAGTTCCTAATGCTCTATAACTTTAATCAGCTTTGGAAATTTTAGGAAAGTAATCTATTAGTGATTGAATTGATATAGATATCCTTCTAGCCACCTAGCAATTACTCCCAATTCTAAGGCACTCTTGAATAAGCTTGACCAAAAGTTTCCTTTGACTTCATTATTTTAAATTTTATATATAGGAATGTTGCTTCAAAAAAAAAGAGACAAATACAAATGATTCCACTCATATGTGCATATGTGTTATATAAAGACAAATGAAAGGAATAGAACAACAACAACAAAAAAAAACACATCTTGAAATCTGACTGTGGAACTGAGGCTACCGCAAGGGAAGGTATGGGGTGGAAGCAAAGGTAGGGAAGATAATTTTTTTTTTCACAATTTCATAAGTAAAAAGTGTAAGATTTTTCTGGTGAGTGAATGAATCCTATCCCTTTCCCCCCCCCCAGGGAATGAGAAGATTGAGATAGCATTATGTTTCTATATTAATAAGGTACTAAGTTAACAAGGTAACCTAAGCTGAATAGTTGCTATTAAACTCAATTTCAGTAGCAAAATTTGTATTACAGTCTGAAAATTCTTGGCATAGGAAAAATATCAATAAACTATATTATTAAAGGGCATCTACTAAGAATATCTTATTAGTAGAATAGCTGTACATGCTAATCATATAATATTATTTTTCTTGTTGACAATGCAGAATAATATCCCAAGCTCTCTAAATGGACTTAATAAACATATGTAATTATTACTCAATGTATAATTTCTTTCAAATTAATTCTCTTCAGTTTTGTCAAATACTCTTTAGTGAAGCTAATCAGATGGAAATATAAAAGCAATCTCAATATATTTCTGAACACTGACTCTACAGTGAATATCACTGAATATTTTTAAATTATAAAATTAACTACCTTATGAAAGCCTCTTGGCAGTTCTTATCCCTTTTACTTGCATTGATTATTTTAATTAAAATCCTGACCAAAGAGAGAGGTAAAATGCTGAATAGTTGAATGTTACAGACTTTAAGATTAATACCTTTTTATATAACAGCTGCCATATAAAAGTTTGCCTTTTACAAAGAACACATATTACATGCTAAGTCAAAGGTCAGGGAGACTCCACATGATCAGGAAAACACTTTTCTGTCAATTTAGAAACCATATTGTCATACCTATAAAAGAGCACTGGTCAACTGACTCAAAAAATATTAAATGCCCTAATTTGCAGTGTTTACAATTCCTGTGTCATGATACTCTTCAGTGGTTGATTTCAAGCTACCAAAATGACTATGTGAATCTATAGTTGTGAAATGGGTTCAATAGCTATATATACTATTTCTGAATAAGTTTTAATATTTATAAGTTTTAATATTTATAAGTTTTAATATTTATCTAATAAATAAGTTCACAAGTTTAGTAAATAGTAAAATATAATAAATTAGGAAATTATGAGATCTAAGTGCTGATAAAAGGTTTAAAAATATATCTTGCTCATTATAACTATATTTAATTTACATTTTTATATATGTGCTTAACTGACAGCTCACACAATTCTTGAAATTCTAACAGTGATCAAATACAAGACACTGTTCTTGTATACAACTGCACAGATTCTAAACAGAGACGACCACCCTGGTGATATAAACTGGTGTGGTTATACCAGATATCTCTTCCAGATTTTGCTCCTAAAAGCTGATTAGAACACATAAATGGATGTCCTCAATAGTCCATGAGTATCATTTCTCTTTAATTCCCACTTTCTTCCCTATGCCATTTTGGCCTACTGTGGTGACTACTAGCATTATTGTTACTATAAAAGTGTTAGAGAAGCAGATATCAATAATCATTATTGTAAGTGGTTGTCATAATGCTATTCATTCTAAAGTACAAGATTTTTCCATTGTCACCTTATTAATATATCTTATCAATAAAGAGAAGTCAACTGAATGTAAGTGGAATATAATAAGAGGTCAACAGATAAGGTGTCATGTATTTCAGGCTGCTGTCCTGAATTCACACATACTAGAAGAAAGAATTTGAAAAAGTTGATGCCTCTTAATATATCTATACGATAATATTAACATGTACAATTTTTATAGAAATCCTCAAAAAAATGAACTGTTGTGATTATAAAAATGAAATCATAACAAACTTGAATCTTAAGGAATAACCAATATTTAGATAAGGGTAAAAGAAACAATTAAGCATTTTCCTGACTAGTTCACAATCTGACTCATCATCAGCTGTGTAGGACAACTAAATTCAACAAGCAAAATCAGTGAAATATTCAACTTAAATTATTCTAGATTGATTTTTATTGGAACAAAAGTTACTAAATACACCATTTTTATGCTATCATATAGAAAAAAACTTCAATAGCTTTAAAGTTTATATGACTGGAATTCATCTAATACATCTCTCAATAGCTTTAAAATAACACCTGAATATAACTTAATAGCTGTTGTCCATTTCTCTTTACCTGACTTTCCCCAGGTTGGTGTCAATTTACTTATTTTTTTCTAATTCTTTGATGGAATCTTGGAATTTTAGAGTTGAAGGGTACCTTAATAAGCAGAATTCCAGGGCCTCCCCTGGTGGTGCAGTGGTTGAGCACTGGGCAGCGAAGCTGCCCGCAGCCTCTGTAGCACCGGTTCAATCCCCGGCAGCCGGCGAGGGTCCCACATGGCGTACAGACCTCTCCTGCCATGCCTGCTGCTCCCCTCAGCAGTGTATTTAGTCAGTCTGCCTGTTCTGTTCTCCGCTCTGGCTCTGGTGAATTCTCTCACCCTCCTGCACTTCTGACTGTACCCTGTGCTTGTATAAATAAATAAATAAATCTTAAAAAAAATGGCAGAATTCCAAATATTTCATTTGACCTGTGAGAAATGTTAAACCAGGAGGATACCTCAACGTTGTCCAATGTCATGTTTAATTACTGACAGAATCTGAGTCTAATCAGGTTTGCAACATTCAAAAACTACCAGAGCTAAAAAATATTAATCTTAGAGTAATCATACCTCTTGAAGAACTCTTTTCATCTTTAATAATAACGCCTTGACAGCTGTGCAATCCTGCAACATCAGTCTGAATGGCAAGGAGTCTAGGCCTCCATTTTCTTCCACACCTTGTAAGGACCAATCTGTGGAGGGGCTGCTGGGCATTCTACTGATATGGGAACATCTGGCTTCCTGATCAATGTCTTTTGTCAATTTCAGGGAAAGGTTCCTAATAAGAAAAAAATGAAGAAAATTTACAATGTAGCATATTCAATATACTGTTTTCAAAGATGTTGATCCATGTCAGCAGTGAGTAAATAAAAACAATTGGGAAAACAAAACATCTCCACTATTATACAAAATATCATTTATGTTTTCACTTTTAAAATATATTTTAAATGTCATAATTGGTTCCACTTGTAAACTATGTAGTCATTCTTAAAGGCTTCTGTTTTAGTATTTTTATACTATATGACATGGAGTATAAAATTTTAAATCATGGTATGGATAGTATTGTTTTAATTGTATAAGAATTTTCAAAAATTTATCAAGCTTAAGTTGGAACTAACCTGGCAGAATTCAACAATGAGTGAAAGTGAAACACATTTCTTTGTGTACAACTCATTTGTACACAGAAACTTTTCTGCAAGGTGAAGAGTTATGCATTATAGGCTTCTAATCACAGTTAAAACTTTCCCAGCAGTCTTACAATACAACAAAATTTTTATAATTTCTTTAGCTAGACTGTGATATGTTTGAATACATTTGTACATTCAAGTGTATAAATCTCTATGAAGAATGACAAAGCTTTTAGAAAGCATATTATTGTGAAGTTCTAAGATCAGTTTTAGGAATATATAGAAGTTATATAGATTCTAATTTAACAGTAACAAATTGTGGTTCTATTCCATCTTGGGTTAGTTAAGAATGGACTACATATATTCATTTAGAAGAAAACAAGCCAGTATAATGTTCAATCACAGGAGGATAATCTGAAAGTTACCCAGAAGGACACTAAACTCAGAGGGTCCCGTGTCTTGGGGCAAAACTAGAACACTTCCCGGACATCAGAGACCATCATGGACCACTCAAGAAGGGACATAGAGGAGATTCATATTTCTTTAAACATGAGTTGGGTAGGAGAAATATCTGGTGGCTGTAGTCAGGATGGGAGATTGCTACACAAACCAACACATTGCCATTTAGCCTGGAATCACTGGTAGGGAAAAGCAGAAAGGTGTGGGGGCAAACACCACTGGATGATGGGAAATAGTGTAGAAAAAGTAGGGTGCTTCCAGTTGGCTGGATCTTCAGCTAAAAGAACAAGGAATATTGAGAAACACTTCCTGCCCTCAACCCGTGGGACGAGTACTGACCTTGTAACGTCTACGAAAAGGACAAACATTTCAGATTAAGGTCTGGAACCCCAGAGAGGAAGGATATTGACAGATAGGAGCCAGATTTTCCAACTCCTACCACCCAACAACTGACACAGCAGCTTCAAAATTGGATCTCTAGATACATGGAAACCCGGAAAAGCCAAAAATCATAAATCAAGCTAGAAAGTAAAACAAAACAAAAACAAGCAAAAAAACAAATAAACAAAACTAACAACTAAACAGTATGGGTAGTATTGTTTTAATTGTATAAGACTTTTAAAAAATTTATCAAGTTTAAGTTTTAATTAGTCTGACAAAATAAATAATTTAAGAAAATAAGGAAAGACATGAGGGAGGGAAAAAAAGATATTCTAAGACAAGCAGAAGCTAAAGGAGTTTTCCAAAACTATAACTCATCTTCTCCTACTGGAAAAAGAAGTCGTATTGCAAATTTCTAAGTTACTCCTACAGATATGTATAGAAAAGGGAAATCTAAAGCAGTAAAGTGGGGCCTCCCCTGCTGGCGCAGCAGTTGAGCACTGCGGTTGAGAGGCTGCCCATGGCCTTAGCAGCGCAGGTTCGGCCCAGGCCGCCAGCGAGGGTCCCACATGGTGCGCAGACCTCTCCTGCCGCCCGCTGCTCCCCTCAACAGTGTATTTCATTGGTCTGCCTGTTCTGTTCCCCACTCTGGCTCTGGTGAATTCTCACACCCTCCCATGTTTCTGACTGTACCCAGTGCTTGTATAAATAAATAAAAAAATAAATTAAAAAAATAAAGCAGTAAAGTGGTAAAAGGAAAGACACAAAACTCTTGAGACATCACATAAATATGGGATCACATGTAGAGAACAACTTTCCAGAATCTGACCTCAAAGGCAAGTAGGATTTCATCTTCCTATCATTGTATACAGAAGTCAAAATGAAGAAATCCAAAGCAACTGAGGGAAACAACCCAACACTGAAAAAGGAATTGAATATACAAGTCCATGAACATCAAAGAGCATCTCATTATATAAATGTTGTCAGAATTACACCGAAACATATTCCTGGAACATCCAAGAATTAAAAATAAAGAAAAAAATAATGAAGATGACTAAGGTTAAAAAACATGTAACCAATAAGGTACTCTAATTAAGCTTTCATCAGGCCACTCTGAGAAAACTCTCTGAAAGCAAAAAGAAAATCGAATGCTGCATTAAAAATAATTACACTGAAAAACTACTGGCCAAGAAAACCTCTATTCTGAAAACTTTCCTCTAAGAAAGGAAGATGTAAGTGGAAAAAAAGACGCTCAGAATCTGAAAGGGTTTTCCAACACTACAACTCACCTATAAAAAATATTGAAAAAAAATCTATATTTATATTGAGATAAAAACTGAAATAGATAATAAAATTGGTTCTACCTGCCATTGCTACTGGCAGTAACAGACATACATATATGAACATTGCTCAAAATATAAATGGACTGAGTTCCTGAATCCAAAGGTACAATGTGGTATTTTAGATCACAAAGGAAAACCCAACTTTCTGTTGTTTCCAGGGGACCCATTTGAGTTCCAAATATAAACATAGACTCAAAATAAACACTGGAACACACAAAAAAAAACAAAACAAAATGAAAGTTTGGAGAACAATCCTAAAAGCAAATGGAACCGAAATTATATTAAAAGAGGAAGGATGGCCACACATTATCAGATAAAATAGACTTCTAGCTTTAAAAAATGATACAAGAGGGCCTCCCCGGTGGTGCAGCGGTTGCGCGCTGGGTTGTGAAGCTGCCCGCAGCCTCTGCAGCGCCGGTTCGATCCCCAGCTGCTCCCTGGCCACCGGAGGAGAGTCACACATGGCGCACACACCTCTCCCGCTGCCCACTGCTCCCCTCAGCAGTGTACTTCGTCAGTCTGCCTGCTCTGCTCCCAATTCTGGCTTTGGTGAATTCTCTCACCCTCCCGCGCTTCTGACTGTACCCAGTGCTTGTATAAATAAATAAAATAAACAAACAAACAAACAAATAAATAAATAAATAAATCTTAAAAAATAAAAAAATGATACAAGATTAACAGTATATAATGATTAAAGGAATATTACATGAGAATGACATAACATTCATTAATGCATATGCACCAAATGAAGGAGCATAAAATATATGTAGACACTTATAAACAACCTTGAAAACAAACAATAGCAAAACCACAATATTTGTTGGTGTCTTATCTATCTTATCAGTGTATAGATAACCCTGGAAAACCAACAAGGAAACATAGCCTTATACCAGGAATTAAAACATATGGATTTAATATAGACATATAGGGCACTGCACCCACCAAAAGCAGAGTATACAATCTGCTCAAGTGCACATGGAAGATTCCCCAGGATATAACACATGCTGGATCACAAATCAATGTCAATAAACTGCTGAAGAATGAAAATATGCCAAGTATCGTCTCTCATCACAATATCAAACTATAAATGAGACACACACACACAAAAAGGAAAACTTCTAATATACAGAGACTAAACAAAATACAATTAAATAATTATTTGGTCAGTATGGAAATAAAAGAAATTAAAAAATATGTCCAGAGAGAAATGAAAATGAAGACATGAATTACTGGAACCTATAGGACATTAAAAAAAAATACAGAAATACAGGACCATATCAAGAAATGAGAAAGAACTCAAAAAATAGTATCACCTTACATATTATGAAAAAGAAGAAAAAACAATAGAGGGGGGAAATAAAAATTAGAATAGAAGTAAACAAAATAGAATCCAAATAATTCAAAAGATGACTCAAACTAGTGCATGTTCTTTGAAAAATAAGCACAATAGAAACTTATTGTTAAGAAAGAAAAAGGAAAAAGTCCTAATAAGTAGAATCAGGAATGAAAGCAGAAAAGTATAAACAGACATTTCAGAAATAATAGAAAATCAGGGCCTCCCTGGTGGTACAGGTGGTTGAGTGCAGCACTGTGAAGCTGTCCGCAGCCTCTGCAGTGCCAGTTCAATCCCTGCCGGCCACTGAGATAACCACATGGCGAGGTAGTCCTCTCCTGTCTCTCCTACTGCTCCCCTCAACAGTGTACTTTGCTCAGTCTGCTTGTTCTGTTCCCTGTTCTGTCTTGGGTGAATCCTCTCACCCTCCCGCACGTCTGGCCTATACCTTGGTTATTGTATAAAATAATAATAATAATAATAATAATAGAAAAAACTTTGGAAAAAAAAGATCAAAAAAAAAAAAAAATAGGGCCTCCCTGGTGGCGCAATGGTTGAGGACTGGGCTGCAAAACTGCCCGCAGCCTCCACAGCGTGGGTTCGATTCCCAGCCAGTGGCGAGGGTCCCACATGGCGCGCTGACCTCTCCTGCTGTTCCCGCTGCTCTCCTCAGTAGTGTATTTCCGTCAGTCTACCTGTTCTGCTCCCGTGTCTGGCTCTGGTGAATTCTCTCACCTTCCCGCGCATCTGACTGTACCCAGTACTTGTATAAATAAACAAATACACTCTTAAAAAAAAAAAAAAAAAAAGGAACTCATAAGAGACTACCATGAATATCATTTTTACTCATAAACAGGATAATCTAGGAGAAATGAACAAAATTTTAGAAGTATACAATCTTCCAAGGCTAACTCAGAAAGAAATAGAAAAACTGATGGGACCTATTAAAAATAAGGAAATTGAAAGAGTAATTAAAAGGTTCTCAAAATACAAATGCCAAAAACCAGACTGATTCACTGGAAAATTCTAACAAACCTTCAAAGGCAAAGTAATACCTTTCACTCTCAAACATTTCCAATAAAAAATCAGGGAGAGGATATGCATCCACACACATTTTATGAAGCCAATATTACCC